TCAAGAACCCTTTGCATGATTAACTGGTTCTCTGCATGGTGAAACGGTTCTTCAGATTGATGGAGAGGGTGTAGTATATGGCTCTATGTAGCACCAAAAAGAGTTCTGCTGTTGTTACAAGCTTGACATCGTCACAACGGAAGATCCCTTTTGGTGCTATACAGAACCCTTTACAAAAAGGTTCTATAGAGAACTATATACAACATTATCTCCATCAATCTGAAGAACTATTTCACCATGCGGAGAACAGTTTAATCATGCCAAGGGTTCTTGAAGTGTTGATGGTTCTATATAGAACCATTTTTTTTTTTTTTTACTAAAGAACCCTTAAAGAACCATCTTTTTTAAGAGTGTGGTTGGGGTCACCATGTCTACAACACAAACGAAGCCTTTTGGAAATAAAAGGATTAAAATATGTGTTAAGCCATTTGTTTATCACAAAACTGCTTTCTGTGAGGGAGCTTTTAGAGGTGGACGTCTGGTTCCTATCACCACCACTGTGAACAGTTCTGACTCGGTAAGTTTATCTAGAACAGAGCGTTTCACACCAAACCACTCTGAACCACTCTGTTTACATCTTAACCACTTGAGAATTTTGGAAAATCGATGGAATTCTGCTTTAAATCTCTTCTTACTGAACAGTACTACTACTACTACTACTACTAATAATAATAATAATAAAACAGTAATAATAATAATAATAATAATAATATTAATAATAATACACACTTAAATACAGAATCATTTCATGCATAAATGGTTTTTCATATTTACATTAAATGTCTTGCTGTATATGGAGCCTTTTTGAAAAGGGTTCTATGTAGTACCAAAATTGGTATTCCACCATTACAATATCAAGCCAGTAACAATATCAGAACTCTTTTAGGTGCTACATAGAACCCTTCTCAAAAAGGCTCCATATCCCTCTAACATTGTGCCCAACCTTTTAGCAGAGCGCATTTTGAGTCACTATATATGTTCTGATTTTGCCACAAAGTGCCATCTTAACAGCTGCAAGGCGTGAATATTTTAAAAACTGTGAGGTCAAAAAATGAAAAAAAAAAAAACAACAAAAAAACGAAACACCAATTGTTTTTATTATTGCCCCAAACATTCCATTGCTTTTTTTCTTGGTGAGGACATTAAAGGGATATACAGCAATACATTCTACATCAGTATGAAGAACCCATTCGTCTAGTTTCTCTAGAACGGAGCGTTTCACACTAAACCACTCTGAACCACTCTGTTTACATCCTAACTGTTTAAATATGTAGAATTTTTTGAAAAATTGGTGGAGTTCCCCTTTAATACATATTATGTTATGCTGTTTAATCTGAGTTTTTTGGCTCATTTTTTTAAAATTCCATGTTATGTGACGTGCAGGGGGCCGCGATCTGCCCCTGTGAGCGAGTGTGTGTGCAGGTCAGGGCAGGAAGTGGCCATCCCAGTGGACACACTGGCCTGGTTTCACCAGAGAGTGAAACTTCCCCACCGCAGCACTGAAGTGGGCGATGTGTGATCCCAGCCTGGTCAATCATTTACGGCGGTCAAAGTCCCTGAACTGAAACTATGGCTGCTGAACAATACACAGGACATCTCTCACACTCACACACACACACACACACACACACACACACAGGGATGGGCTGTGACTCCTGGGTTTTATTGGCTCATCTTATTGGTATCAATTCTGACAGAAAGCAGGAATAAAAACTCTGTTACGAGGTGAACGTTGCTCAACGGCTACAGGCAGGTAGGTAAGATTTTATGGCCATGGAGAAAAAACAGGCCGATTTAGCTTCCGCTTTGCTGAAAAAGCACCATTAGAAACCCTTTACACTGTAATATCAAGGCATTAAAAAGGCCAAAACACATTACAAAACCATCAGGAACCAACAGATGATAAGATACTTAATGGTTTCAGCAGGGAACCCCCTAAAATCACCACCATCAAACCAAAAAGTGTTTTCTTTTGGACAAAAAAAAATCTCATTTACAGTTTCCCCCCATGTGTACACTCCTAAAGATGGTTCTTCAAGGGTTCTTTAGTAAAAGGAATGAACCATAAGTTCTACATACAACCATTCCATGCTTAAATGGTTCTCTGGATGGTGAAACGGTTCTTCAGATTGACGGAGAACGTGTTATATATGGTTCTACGCAGCACCGGCATCAATCTGAAGAACCATTTCACGTTCGTTCCACCATTTTAGCATGAAATGTTTCTATGTAGAACTCAGGGTGTAAACAGAACCATTCTCTTTACTAAAGAACCCTTGTAGAACCCTCTTTTAAGAGTGTAGTCTATCAGCCAAGACGTGTTTAGTGTCTGAGGTTTGCCTCTGTAGTTCTAGCACTGCACTGCATAATGCTAATGACTAGCTGTTAGCATGGTGCTAAATGCATGCCTACATCATCACACACTCCCCTCAGAGCATGTGGAGGTGGTCAGTGTCTCTATTAGACCTGATGATGTGGTTTCTGACCCTGTGTGACTCACTGTGATCTATAAACATGGGCTATAGTGCGTTAGCATAGCTAAAACCAGTTAGCTAACAAGCTAGAGCTAAAAACAGTAGCAGTTTCATCACAGTGGAGCTTTATTTGCTCATGTATTTGTTTTTTTTTTTTTAGAAAACAACTCTGTTCCATGTTTCCTCAAACATATTTAATGAAAAAATAAGACCCCCTTCCACATCTACCAATGTACAGTCTGTTCTACGTTCAGTAAATAATGTCTGAAACCGTGTTTATGTACACGCGGCTTCCAAACTGATGCCCTTATTAAACTATTACACTCCGGTTGAACATTTCAACATTTTAAAACATGACCAAAAACATGACCAAAGTTGGCAATCCTACTAACAGCAGAATCTACCCTCAATTCTCCATACTGTCTAACAAGCCCTTGTTACCTTAACCTGGAATTTTTCCTTTCAGGGAATCTCCAGTGCCATCTTCAGGGCAATTCCATCATTGTATAGCTCAGAAGATGCCCTGGAGAGGTGAGGGACTGATGGATGTAGACCGAAAGAGACAGGAGGACCTGCCTAGAAATAACTGTGATCGGACGCAATGAGCATTTTGTCCATGGCTTAATAAACAGTCTGCATTACACGGTTTACCTAAGCTAACCTATTAGCTCACTAAGGACCTAACCAAAACAAGTGTGCTCCGATTGAAAAAGCAACAGACAGGGAATAAAGGGCCCTGGGAACATAGGACTCTGAAAAGACAGGGCCCTGGGAACATAGGACTCTGAAAAGATAGGGCCCTGGAAACACAGGACCTTGGGAACATAAGGCTCTGGGAACATAGGGCACTGGGAACATAGGGCACTGGGAACATAGGGCCTTGGGAACATAGGACCTTGGCATCATAGGGCCCTGGGAGCAAAGGACCTGGGAACATTGGGCTCTGGGGACATATGACTTTGGGAACATAGGGCCCTGGGAGCATAGAACCTGGGAACACTTGGCTTTGGGAACATAGGACCGTGAGAACATAGGACCCTGGGAATATACAGCTCTGGGAACATAGGACCCTGGGAATATATGGCTCTGGGAAAATAGGATCTTGGGAATATACGGTTCTGGGAACATTGGGCTCTGGGAACATTGGACTTTGGGAACATAGGGCCCTGGGAGCATAGAACCTGGTAACACTTGGCTTTGGGAACATAGGACCGTGAGAACATAGGCCCCTGGGAATATACAGCTCTGGGAACATAGGACCCTGGGAACATATGGCTCTGGGGAAAGTAGGATCTTGGGAATATACGGTTCTGGGAACATTGGGCTCTGGGAACATAGGACTTTGGGAACATAGGACTTTGGGAACATAGGGCCCTGGGAGCATAGAACCTGGGAACACTTGCCTCTGGGAACATAGGACCGTGAGAACATAGGACCCTGGGAATATATGGCTCTGGGAAAATAGGATCTTGGGAATATACGGTTCTGGGAACATTGGCCTCTGGGAACATAAGGAAAATAGGGCCCTAGGAAAATAGTATGGTGGGAATATAGGACCCTGGGAACACAGGGCTCTGGGAACATAGGACATAGGAAACATAGGGCCCTGGGAACATTGTGTGCTCCTATTGAAAAAGTAATGCTGCTCGTTGTCCTATGTATGACCTCTGGTGACCTCATGACCTTAGGAACTCTTTCATAGGTTATCTTAATGTATCATATTGAGGTATGATGTATCACATAAAGAGCCCAAAGAACACAGGACCCTGGGAATGTAGAGTCTTGAAATCACAGAAACCCTGGAACAATGCTTCCTGCACACACAGGATATGGAAACAGTGCGAAGGTGTTCGGTATCTCTAATCTTGATGATGTGGTGTCTGAAACTGTGACTCACTGTTATCTACAAATATGGACTAGTTAGACAGGTTAGTTAGGATGAAAAGGATGGTAGATCACTGAAAACTGTTACGGCTCAAAGCTGCAGATAAAAACAGCATCCTTGTCTCTGAATTCTGACGGCAACATTACCAGCGTAAATCTGATTTGCGTCCAAACTGAATTGCCCTAAATGGACAAATTCGGAAAGTTCCAGTGTGGAGTAAGAGGTGAGCTGTGGGGGCGGTGGACGGTGGACGGTGCCGCCCTCTTCTCTCTTTGTTTTCCTTCTATTCAGGGTGTTTTATGTCAGCCTGAGGAGGAATCACTCCCTCCATCAGTGAGATGCTCCTCTAGCTCCACCTTCAGGCCAAAACGTGCTTATAGATTTACTGAGCACTCCACCATTCACTCACTGATATCTATTAACATTAATCTTAGTCCTTTGGTCACATGGTGAGAACTGATTTCAAGCCGCTAATAAATAAAAATGACAAAAACTGAGGAGGTGCCGTTAGATGTTCACCCAGCGCGTACGTCCACCAAATTTCACCACCTTAGAACAAGCTCTTCTGCACTTTTCCTCATCCTGATTCTAGGAAGCATGTGTGTAACTTTCACTGACAGACCACTCGTGACTTTCTGACCTTAAATAAACATTTTATTAATTTCCAAAGAAAACAAAACAAATCTGCAGACTCTACAACATTTACTTCGCTGTACAGGTTCAGTGCGGTCTGGCCTGCAGGTCTAGCGCCGACGATCCTGCTGGACCTCATTGTGACTGGTTAGAGTTTTGGGTTTGCTCTAAAAACGATCTCAGTCTCCTGTTCTGAGGGGAGGTGCTACTTCGCACGGCGGCTCAGGAGAAAATTTACCACCAAATCCCAAAATACACCATCCGAGAGCCTCTTTAACAGACTCTCGGAAAGAGCCCGCTCCGAATTAAAGGAGGTTCGAGTTCCCCCTCCAGGCCCCGCCCACAAATGTGTTCTTTCATAGCTAGCAGGGACGCGGGACGCCGTTTTGAGGGGGTGTTAAAATTTGTAGCAGCATTTACGTGACCAACAAGACGTCCAGCTAGACAGCGTGTGCTTCATTTCCTTCATTTGGATTGTTCGGCGAGAGACGACAGCTGCTCTCTCTTACTGGACAAACTTTATGCAAATGACCTGAGCATCAACCAATCAGATTGGTGATATGAGGTGGGAAACCGCTTTTGTTGCCCCTATATTCAAGCTACATGCGCATATCTAGCGGTAGTTTATTATAATGGTCGAAGTATATGGATATGAGTGGAAGACGAATACGTTGAAGATTTTACGTTTTTCTAAACAGCGTTAAGCGGCTTCAGGGCTCACAACTCCAGCCAGAATGCAGCGTTAACTTAATCGCGCACGGCTACTGCAGATTTTGAACATCTATAAACAAAACAAAAATACATGCTCCATTTTACAAACGGGTGCTCAAAACGTTCAAAAATTCTGCTCTTTTTTATTTGTCTGCTGTTATTTTTAGCAGTTAGACAATCCCGAAATCTGGGGGTGCTGCAGAGCCCCCTCGCGTCCCTGGTAGCTACTGTTGTATGATCGGACACACTTTACAGAACACTGATAAAAATCCCGTTCAACCGAATTTTTTATCCAGTAGCTGAGCTAACATTAGCACGATGGCTAATCTGTCATTGATTCAAATGTGCATAGTTTTGTTCAGTCTCGTGGGGACAGATGTGACCTTGTAACGAGAATACACGTCTGGGGACAGCTTGTTAAACTTCTGGTGCTGGATTGTGCCGCTAATAAGGGTCCGCCCCCTCTATAACCACACCCCCTCAATAAACCCGCCCCCATATTCTTATAGCCCTCTATCGTTAGCTATCGGAGCTGTTTTCGCTTGTAAGAAGCTTATTTTTACTGCGATCTCTGCACGTGTGGCTCACATCTGCATGCTTAACTGGACTTTTTGGGTACCTTTCAGCTACATACACTACATCCATGAGCTAACGGTAGTTGGAAAGTGCTGACAAGCGCAACAGCGCCCCCTGCTGTGAGCTCGGCCTTCATGAGCTGTTGGACTGGTTTAGCAATTTCACACTCAGCTTGTTCCCACCCTGATAAGTCTACATTCAGCCTCAAACCTCTCAAGGTCGCCCCCATCTCGTTATAAAATGACATCTGGACACAGAAGATTTTGAGTAGCTGAAAGACCACAGTGCTCAACATGATGTCTCAAATACAAACCCCAGCCTAAATGAACGGGATCTTTCCGTAAAGCTTGTCCAACCTTATATCAGGAGCACACTAGTGGGCGGAGTCTGGGTCAATCAATTCAAGATTTACCTGAGTGGACCTATCACTGTACAACGTGTGTGTGTGTGTATGTGTGTGAAAGAGCGTGTGGTCCGTTTGCTCTCCTCTCCTCTCTTGCTGTGGCTGCTTGTCCTGTCACTTTCTCACACTCCTCTAGATGGAGCCGTTGCCCCCGGAGCCGGAGCTGGATCCGGGGCCGCGGGTCCTGAAGTTGTGCCATATCTTCACCAGCGGTTCTCTGTTCTTCCAGATCAGCTCGTGACCGTACAGGATGTACCATCTGCACAGACACAGCGAGACACAGCGGTCAGCAGCTGATCACAAGTCCCACCACAATAGTGAACAGTGTCCACTTCTCTGTCCACATATGAACCACGGCAGGTATGAATGGACACTTAAACGAGTATTAGCACCTAAAAATATGCTAAAATATGCAAATATGCTCAATATGCTCAACATGTCGACTATGAGAACCGACGGTCTGCTTACCGTCTAATGTATCCCAGACCCTTACAATGCACCACTGTTACACTCTTAAAAAAGACGGTTCTTCAAGGGTTCTTTAGTGAGGATAATGGTACTTTATAGAACTGTGCTTATAGAAGCATGCTTAAATGGTGGTGAAACGGTTTATTCAGACTGACTGAGAATGTGTTGTTTAGGGTTCAACCATAAAATGGTTCTATATAGCAGCAAAAGGGTTCTCTAGGGTTATTTCATTATTCTGATGTCAAGTTTGTAACAACAGCAGAACCCTTTTTGGCAGTAGGTAGAACCACGGAATGGTTCTTCAAACTGACAGAGAATGTGTTGTATATGGTTCTATATAGGACCTTTTTGAAAAGGGTTCTATATAGCACCAAAAAGGGTTCTTTTATTGTTACGATGTCAAGGTTGTAACAATAACAGAACTCTTTTTGGTGCTAGGTAGAACCATGAAATGGTTCTTCAGGCTGACGGAGAATGTGTTGTATATGGTTCAATATAGAACCTTTTTGAAAAGGATTCTATATAGCACCAAAAAGGGTTCTTCTACTGTTATGATGTCAAGCTTGTAACAATAGCAGAACCCTTTTTGGTGCTAGAAAGAACCATGGAATGCTTCTTTAGACTGACGGAGAAATATGTTGTATATAGTTCTACAGAGAACTTTTTTGAAAAGGGTTCCATATAGCACCAAAAAGGGTTCTTCCATGGTCACGTATTGTTATGCCATGCTTGTAACAATAGCAGAACCCTTTTTGGTGCTATATAAAACCATATACAACACATTCTCCATCAATCTGAAGAACCATTTCACCATCCAGAGAACCATTTAATCACGCAACAGGTTCATGGTTCTATATAGAACCACTATCTTTACTAAAGAACCCTCAAAGAACCATCTTTTTTAGGAGTGTGCGAGACAATTAACGTTATTCACTCTATCTGTGAGGGCTGGTAATGTGCACACAACCACACTCACATGCCGAACAGCGCTCCTCCTAAATGAGCAGCATGGTCGAAGAAGCGCCATCCCATAATCAGGCCAGCCGTATCCAGGGCAACGATGGTCTTCAGCGCCTGTGACGTAGGGTGGTCAGTTTGTTTTAAAGATAATGATAAACACTTATTAGTGTAACAATAAATAGTGAATTATGCTCGTCATAAACTCACGTTTCCAGCGGTGAAGGTGTACATGGGGAGGAAGATGACGGCCAGTTTAGCTTCAGGCATCTTCGTGCAGACGGCCGCCAGGACGGTCATTATAGCCCCGGACTGGAACACCGCATTTAACGTAGAGCGGCAACGGTTAACATGAAAATTTGGTATAAAAAATAATTAAATTCGCTTTTATGGAAAAAAAAAAAACTATTTAAAACATGAAAAAACAATGAAAAACATACAACATGGTCATTCTCACAGACTGTAATACCCTACAGGAAGTGTAGGGGGCGATATGGCTTCTACTGTTTCATTTAAAAAGCCTCTATAATGTTCATATGATCCACACAGTCATTCTGACAGACTGTAATGCACTACAGGAAGCGTAGGGGGCGATATGGCTTCTACTGTTTCATTTAAAAAGCCTCTATAATGTTCATATGATCCACACAGTCATTCTGACAGACTGTAATGCACTACAGGAAGCGTAGGGGGCGATATGGCTTCTACTGTTTCATTTAAAAAGCTCTATAATGTTCATATGATCCACACAGTCACTCTGACAGACTGTAATACACTACAGGAAGTGTAGGGGGCGATATGACTTCTCTATGAACATTGTTATTAACTACACTTTGGTAACAGAGTTTAATATTGATGATGTAATCACTCACCGCGCCCAGTGATGGTCCTAACCGGCCTGTAGCCGTTTTACATACGTAACTGACGAACGTGGAGATGACCCCTGAAAAAACACAAAAGCCAAAGCTCTTCAAGGGTTCTTTACTAAAAACAATGGTTCTATATAGAACCATGAACTCTCAAAGAACCATTTGCATGCTTAAATGGTTCTCTGCATGGTGAAATGGTTCTTCAGATTGATGGAGAATGTGTTGTATATGGTTCTATATACATCATTTTGATGAAAATGGTTCTATTTAGCACCAAAAGGGTTCTGCTATTACAAAGTCCAGCTTGTACCAATAGAAGAACCCTTGTTAGTGCGATATAGAACCATATAAAAGATATTCTCCATCAGTCTAAAGAACCATTTCATTTAAGCAAAGAAATTGTCTTTTGAGTGTTCAGGGTTCTATACAGAACCACTGTCTTCACTAAAGAACCCTTGAAGAACCATCTTTTTTAAGAGTGTACGAGACAATTAATGTTATTCGCCGCATTTTTGAGAGCTCACAATGTTTTGGCTCATCGGTGTAAGTAAATAAGTAAATACATGTAAATGCATTTAATTGCCTGACTGACAGAACCTTTACTAAAGAACCCTTACAGAACCATGTTTTTAAAGGGCATATAGGACTAGTTGTATAAAATGTATATCTCTGTATCTTCCAGCCTTGAATGATATCCTGTATATAACAGAGATGGACGATACGGCCAAAACACACCATCACGATACTTTATGAACTTTTCACGATACACGATGTGTCCCGATTTTTTTTCTGCCATATAATAAGTTGAAACCCAGCTGTGGCACGTTTTATTAATACTATCAAAAACTATGAACACAATGATGTTTATTCAATGTTTTGTTCAATGTTTATCCAAAAAAACGACTAATTTTGTTCTCTTTGTAATAAAAAAGTTGGTCAGGGTTCTTTAAGTACTGACGATATCTGTGACACTCAGAAAAGCATATTGTTTCATATTGTGACACAATTTATCACGATAATAATAAATATCGTAACACTGTCCAGCTCTATACTGTATATACTCCTACATTCCCTATGACAGACCTGTGGAGAAAACAAACAACCGCAGACGTACTACGCAAGATCATCTCCTCCATTTCCGGGAAGAAACGGAAAAGGAACAAACTCAATGCAGCAGCTCCATTTTCTCTCTCCGGCTCTCACGAGTCTTGCGCCGCTCTGGTGACGCAGCCTCATTAAGACTGATCCATTTGTGTGGCCAACAGGCTACTAAGGAGGAGTCTTCATAGGACAGTCCTACCGAGGACCCGCACTACCTTAGTGAATACGCTATAAACGTAAGACGTCTATTATTCAGTAGTACCGAGTAGTTGTGAGCCCCAAAACATACAGGCTATCTTACATTTAGGCTCAATATGACGAGGCTGAAGTCTAATTTTCATGTTCCACCTTAAATGGTGACAGCCTTCTGGACTCACACGTCGCCTTACAAAAACAGATTTGGGTGACTATTGACTTCTACTATTCGTCAGCTGCATTAGCCTCTCAGCTCCAGTGCTAAACTACAGAAACCGAATTTGGACACCAAGCACGTCTGGGTTCAGTGCAGGAATGTGATTTGTTTAGCCGAGCCGTTCCTTTAAATTTGGCGTATATTGTCAAGACCTCACACGGCGCACCTGCGGACAGGTACATGGCCAGGAACTGCTCTCTGCCCATCATGTTGACGATGCTGGAGGAGAAGCTCCACAGGACGTACATGTTGGCGGCCATGTGGAACAGAGAGTAGTGACTGAAGGTGGACAGCAGCATCGGCCAGCACAGCGTCTCTGCAACACACGCATACAAACACACGATTAATACACGATTTCACGTACCAGCCGAGATCTGACTGGTGGATTGGTGTTTGAATTGGCTGATTGGTGCTCTTTAGTTTCATCGCTGGAGCTACGAGGTCAGAGATGGATGTGGTTTGAGAGCAGCGGTGTTACATTTTTAAAAAATAATTTAAATGATGCCAGTTGCCTTTTACACATTTCACAACGAATGAATCAATAGAAATGGTCCAGAACTGCTTGGAGAATAGTCTGCTGACATTAACTTACGTTAAGGCCAGAAACACACTCAGCGGAGGAAAGCACGAATGACGAGGCCCGGCCAACGCAAACACACAGCCCTTCCAGGGACACGGGAAGCTGTTTTTAGTTGGGGTTGCTAAAATTTTAAGCAGTGTAAATGCGATGTGACCGAAGACGTCATGCAAAATGATTTGCCTTTTTTTTATGTCAAGCACAGTGTGCCATATTGCGCCACAATGAGGCGAGAGATGACAATATACACATTTAACTGACACATCAGACCATTTTTCTTTTAATGGAACAACGCGCAGCGTAGCTCCTTGCGCGCGTTTCTGGCCTTTTCCTGTAAATTTCCCATTTAGCGATTTAAGATAAGCTATAAGATTAAGATTCGCTCTAAAAATAGAAAATATATCAAAAAACATTACATACACTTCAAACCCCACCTCACACACGCACACGTATCTCTACCATGCTCAACCTGTTTCTAAGGGCAGCCACTTCCAGCAACCCTGTAAAAGGCTAATGTAGCTAAGCAATGGAAGCTTATACGCCTCCAACTAGCATCATGGCTAAATCATAAAAATCTGCCTCAAACTGTGAGGAGTTATTAAATAACCTCTAACAGACTCGATTAGACCAGGATGTGTTTGGTGTCTGGAGTTTGCTTCTTTAGTTGTAGCACTGGAGCTACGAGGCTAATGTAGCTACGAGGCTAATGTAGCTACGAGGCTAATGTAGCTACGAGGCTAATGTAGCTAACAAGTAATGAATGCTTATGGCTAGAAATTAGCATCATGCTAACTCTGCATGACTAAACCTTCACCTAATCACCTCAGACTGTGTGGAGGTGTTCAGTGTCTCTAAGGCTACGTTTACACAGCAGGTAAAAGTGGCTCAAATCTGATCTTTGTGATGCTGGCGAAGGCGAAACTGAACCCTCCGGGAAGTGACTGGCGTTCGCTGGCCGTCATGATTGTTTACCTCTGGACGAGCCACGTGAAGCTCTGTTCTTTTGCGCATGTGGCTCAGTTTAGGAGCTGATCTGTTCAGACTGATGTCGCATACAGATCACATTTAAAAGATAATCTGAACAGCCAAACAAAAAAAATCGGATTTGGGCCACTTTCACCTGCTGTGTAAACGTAGCCTAACAGTCCTGATTATGTGGTTTCTGACTCTGTGTGACTCACTGTTATCTATAAACATGGACTAAAGTATATTAGCATGAAGCTAAAAACAATAGCAGCCACCGTAAAGCCTGAATGTGGTCTGTACTTTTGTCCATTTGACAGTAGGCTAAGATTACTCAACACAGTCTGAGGTGAGTGCAGTGGTGACCAGGTTAGATTCATGCTAATTAGCATGGTAGTAAGCGAGTGTTTCTTGTTAGCTACATTAGCCTTGTAGCTCCAGTGCTAAAACTGAAGAAGCTAACAGGTCTTGTTGGGAGGGGGGGGGCTTTTTTATTGTGTGTGTTTTATTGATTGTATTGCAACATATTGATGATAACTAACTAAAATAATCATTTATAACAAAAAAAAAAACAACGAAGCACCTTGAATGTGACTATTATTCTGGCACAATTTAATTAATTAATTATTTTTTTTTAATGTTAATTTGCATCTTGTATCCTGAAATATCAATATGGCGATGATTAATGCTGTAAATATGAAAAACAAATAATTAACACACAGAATTATTAAAATAAACACTCTGCTAGTTTACAGCTCAACAGCACAAACAAAAACATAATAAGCTGTAATAAAATATCATCGTCAGAGAAAAATAAACATTATGAGTCTGCAGTAGGCCACGCCCACTGGGAGTGACTGACGGGCGGGTTTACTCACTGGAGGCGGGGTTAGAGGTGAAGTATCTCAGCATGGTGCGCTGCAGAGAGGGGATCCTCCAGCAGCAGAACACCAGCGCGTTCGACGCTATGATACCTGAGAGGGGAGCGTTAATATGAACAGGTTTATCTGCTGATGGGGGTCTCAGCGAATGTGTTTGTGTAGATCGAGGACCCTTTTTAATGTTTATCAATGAGGGGGAATGTCAAATTTGAGTGACATGTCCATCCTAAACCTACAGCATGTGTGTTTTATATACAGTGATAATCAGACCGAAAGTAAGGTGGTCCTACAGTGATGGTCATAGTAAAGGAGGGGGGGCTACTGTGGAATGTTAGATGCTGTAAACACGTTTGGGGTCATTTATCATAATAATAACTGATATTCAGTCATAACTCATACAGTGTAGAGTGAAATCAAATCAACACTTTATTCACAGTTTACTATGGAAGATCAGAGAGACAATGAGGTGGGTATCATTTTCCGGATTGTTATCTCGAGATAACAAGTTAATTATCTTGTTATCTCGAGATAACTGAAGTGTTATCTTGAGATAACGAGTTAATTATCTTATCTCGAGCAAAGCGTTATCTTCAGATAACGAGTTGATTATCTTGTGATCTCAAGATAACAAAGTTGATATCTTCAGATAACAAATTATCTTGTTATCTCAACATGAAATTATCTTGAAATAACAAGTTACTTATTTTGTTATCTTGAGACAACAAAAGTTATCTTGAGATAATGAGTTAATTGTCTTGTGATCTCAAGATAAAGTTGATATCTTGAGATAACAAGTTATTTATCTCAAGATAAAATTATAGTTATCTTCAAATAATGAGTTACTTATCAAGATAACATTGGTGTCTTGAAATAACAAGTTACTTATCTTGTTATCTTGAGATAACAAAAGTTGTTATTTTACGATAGTTATGTATCTTGTGATCTCAACTTAACAAAATTGTTACCTTGAAATAACGAGTTACTTATCTTGTTATCTCAAGAGAACATTGTTATCTTGAAATAATGAGTTACTTATCTCAAGATAACAACACTGTTGTCTTAAAATAATGAGTTACTTATCTTGTTATCTCAAGATAACAACCCAGAAAATTATAGCAACAGCTTACAGCCTGGATGTCCATAGTTTACAGTATGTTGGGAACAACATAAAGTTAAACTGTGGTACAAAAATATGGAAATGTTATTAAATAATAATCTACAATGTTCTGTTTATTGGAAAATCACTCTGAACAGCGTTATCAGTTCATTTTTAGGGATGTACAGATTTATCAATTATCATAAAAATTACGTACAGCTCAGTGTATCATCCACAACATCTTCATTTTTACAGCCTTCTGACTGACTGACTGACTGACTCTCGTAAGAAATTAGTTTTACAGTGGAATCATTTTATACACACATCTTCAAATAAACCGGTCTTATATGAAAGAAATCAAAAACTTTTGACCTGTACTGTACTGTATGTATTTGAATGTATATCTGTATCTGACCTGTAACAGTTCTCTGGCCTTCACTCAGACTGTTCCACCACTGATTCACCTAGAAATAAAGAAAAAAACACATGAATAAGGCACTGATCTGAATGTGCTGATTCATTAACGTTCACTGTGAAACTACAGAATCAATTACAATCAATTATAAAATCATTTCTGGCCAAAACAAAGTTTGAAATGTGAAAAGATTTTATTATCTATATTTTTACATAAAGAGTAACTGTGAATCGTTCCAAAATGATCTAACTGAATCACAGTGAAACAGATGAAATGAATCGTTTCCTCAAGAATCACGACTGAATTGACCTTTGGTGAAATTTGAGATTTCATGATAAACTGAATCACTTCCTAATGAATCATAATTGGAATTAATCGTGACATATGTTTCATGAAAAACTGGAAATCATAATTGAACTGAATCACAGTGAAATTTGAAACTTCATAATTGAACATAACTGTTGCCTGAAGAATCATTACTGAACTGAATCATGGTGAAAGATTTCATGACAAACTGAATCATTTCCTAAAGAATCACAAGTAAAATTGAAACACTGTTCAATATAAGGTCTAAATGATGAACTGAATCATCTCCTAAAGAATCATGATTGAACTGAATTGTAGTGAAATCTGAGACTTTATGATGGAATGACTCGTTCTGTAAGGAATCATAATTGAAGTGAATCACTGTGAGGTCAGAGATTTACACCCGTAACCTTCATTGACATGTTTAACCACAAACACACACGCACCCCTCACACACTCACACACGCACCCTTCACACACGCACTCACACACGCACCCTTCACACACTCACACACGCACCCTTCACACACGCACTCACACACGCACCCCTCACACACTCACACACGCACCCTTCACACACGCACTCACACACGCACCCTTCACACGCACTCACACACGCACCCTTCACACGCACTCACACACGCACACACTCACACACGCACCCTTCACACACGCACACACTCACACACGCACCCTTCACACACGCACACACTCACACACGCACCCTTCACACACACTCACACACACACACGCACACACACGCACTCACACACGCACACACTCACACACGCACTCACACGCACCCTTCACACACTCACACACGCACCGTTCACACACACACCCTTCACACACACTCACAGACGCACTCACACGCACCCTTCACACACCATCACACACGCACCCTTCACACACTCACACACACACTCACTCACTCACACGCACCCTTCACACACACTCACACACACACACTCACACACGCACTCACACGCACCCTTCACACACACTCACACACGCACCCTTCACACACTTACACACACACGCATTCACACGCACCCTTCACACACTTACACACACACACTCACACACGCACCATTCACACACTCACACACGCACCGTTCACACACTCACACACGCACCCTTCACACACACTCACACACACACACACTCACACGCACCCTTCACACACACTCACACACGCACCCTTCACACACACTCACACACGCACCCTTCACACACTTACACACACACACTCACACGCACCCTTCACACACACTCACACACGCACCCTTCACACTCACCCTTCACACACTTACACACACACGCACCCTTCACACACACTCACACACGCACCCTTCACACACACTCACACACGCACCCTTCACACACACTCACACACACTCACACACGCACCCTTCACACACACTCACATACGCACCCTTCACACACACTCACGCACGTACCCTTCACACACACTCACACAAGCACACACACACCCTTCACACACTCACCCTTCACACACACTCACGCACGTACCCTTCACACACACTCACACAAGCACACACACACCCTTCACACACACTCACCCTTCACACACACTCACGCACGTACCCTTCACACACACTCACACAAGCACACACACACACCCTTCACACACACTCACCCTTCACACACGCACCCTTCCCACGCACCCTTTACACACATTCACACATGCACTCACACGCAACCTTCACACACTCACACATGCACTCACACACAACCTTCACACACACTCACACATGCACTCACACGCACCCTTTACACACACTCACACATGCACTCACACGCAACCTTCACACACACCCACGCTTCACACACACTCACACGCACCCTTCACACACACTCACACACGCACCCTTCACACACACTCACACGCACCCTTCACACACTTACAAACGCACTCACACATGCAACCTTCACACACACGCACTCTTCACACACACACACGCGCACTCCCACACACACACACACCCTTCACGCACCCACACACACACCTGTTTGCGGAAGTCTCCTTGCTTCTGTGGTCGCAGTTTATCCAGCCAATCAGCTCGGACCTCGTCAAAGTAGCTCTGAACGCGAGACTTCAGGCTTTCATACTGCCAAATCGCCGCCGCGCCGAACGAACAGCCTGTAAACTGACATGGAGTCAGTACTATACACAGATACACACACAGTACTACACACACACACACACACACACACAGTACTACACATAGTACTATACACAAATACGCTACTACACACACAGTACTACACACAAATGACCGGTCAAGAGGCTGGCCCCGACCGGTCGGAAGGCTGGCCCTGACTGGTCGGAAGGCTGGCCCTGATTGGTCAGGAGGCTGGTCCTGACTGGTCAGGAGGCTGGCCTTGACTGGTCAGAAGTCTGGCCCTGATTGGTCAGGAGGCTGGCCCTGGCTGGTCAGAAGTCTACATCTGGTTGGTCAGAAGTCTGGCCCTGTCTGGTCAATGAGCTGCTTACAGTCCATAAATCTGATCCTGACCTGCCCTGGTGCAGGTTCGGCGTGCAGCAGAAGTTGCCGTGGTAACCCAGTGTACAGTGACCCACAGCTGTGAGACAGAAACGTACACCACTGACCAGGTTCAGGTCCAGGTTAATAGGCCAGAGTGCTGTACCTACCCCCACAGTGAACACCAGCGGCTTGACCAGTCTCCTGAATGACCTTTCGGGCAGCTGCGGGGTGGGCGGTTCTAATGGAGGAGCCACGGACCTCTTCTGCATCAGCTCACCCTGCTCCGCCTCCTTCTTTGGCTCCGCCTTCTTGGCGACCTTGCGGAAGCCGCATCTCTGCTGATGGTGGAGGAGAAACCTGCACACAGAGGATCAGAGCACTGAAGATCTCACACGGATAAACAGCAGCAGGTCTGGAATAATACGTTTTCTTTGGGGACTATTTTGCCTCACAGCGCCCTGCATGTATCCCTCCACCATGAATGGAGTTTAAGTTCTCTAAACTATCATAAAACAGTGTCTCAGTCATCAGGCAGTGAATTCATAACCATTTCATGTAGTAACTTTCTGTGAGGGAGCTTTTAGAGGTGGACGTCTGGTTCCTATCACCACCACTGTGAAAAGTTCTGACTCGGTAAATTTATCTAGAACAGAGCGTTTCACACCAAACTGACTCTGAACCACTCTGTTTACATCTTAACCATTTGACTATGTGGGAATTTCGGAATATCAACGGAATTCCGCTTAACCCTCTTCTTACTGCACATTTAAGCATTAATTGGTTCTATATGGAACTCATGGTTCTAGATAGAACCATTGCCTTTACTAAAGAACCCCTGGAGAACCATCTTTTAAATTGGTAGCTATAATTACAATAATATACTAACAACAATGATTAACTCTATAATTAATTCTAATATTACTAACACTATTAACACAAAGAACTCAGGGGTTAAAATCAGCACTAATATCCCCAATAATAATGATAATAATAATAATAATAATAACAGCATTAACGGCAATAACAGCCCTAATATTGACCCCACTGTCAATCCCAACACTACCATTAACACTAAGAACTCAGAGATTAATATCAGCACCAATGTCAATAATAATAATAATAATAATAATAATAATAACAATAATAATAATAATAACAATAATACAGTTAACAACTGCAACAGCCCTAATATTGATCCCATTATCAATCCCAACATTACCAACACTACTAACACTAAAAACCCAGAGGTTAAAATCAGCCCTAATATCTCAATAATAATAATAATAATAATAATAATAATACAGGTAACAACTGTAGCAGCCCTAATATTGACCCCGTTATCAATCCCAACACTACTAACACTACTACACCACTAATATCTACAGTTCTGGTGTTTAAACAGTCACTGATATAAAGTTAGTGCCCCCCTGTGTGGTGGGTTTGGTGACGTTGGGGGGGGTAAATTCATTAAATTAATCACATTGATTACATTAGTTAATTAATGCCCCAGTTCTGTTGTGTTTGTTTGTGTGTGTGTGTTTACCCTCTAACGGGCTCGTGGTGTGAATTAAAGCCCCTGCGTGTATATATTTTCCCTCAGTGTGGTGGAGGGGGGCTATAAGACCCCCCGTATGTGTGTGTTTACCCTCTGTGTGCCCCGGGGTGGGGGAGAATCGCCCCTGTTGCCCCGCTCCATGCTGCCCAGCTGCCCGCTCGACTCCTCCACGCCATCATCTGTCCTCAGCGCCCCGCTGCAGCGCCCAGCAGCGCCGCCCGGCGGAGCGGAGGGACAACGACAGCACAGCGCCTCACACGGCCAGCTTCACACGACAGAATAAAAGTCCGCGCCCTGCAGGAGAATCAAATGCAGAATTTAAACTCACACGTCAAAAAAAACTAAATATATATTTAAAATATAATAAAATAATAAAACATATTTTTACAACACTGTTAACGACAGACGGATTGGTATCACTTGTAGACACGAGCAAGAGGAAAAGCTGTGAGGATCAACTGAACTACAGAATAAGAGTGTGGGGAAGGGGAACAAATGTTAAAATAAGGGTCTGATCACTAGAGTCTGATCACCACAGTGACAACAATGGAGAGCAATAAACTACAGAATAAGAGCACGAACACTGGAAGGAAGTAACTCACAGAATAAGAGTCACAGAGAAGAGTGTGAGCACTGAAGGGGACAAAACTACAAAATAATGTCAAAATTAAAAAAGTAAAAGAGTAATAAACTAAATAAACTGTAAGAGATAGTTACACAGGAGGGGAATAAAATGCAGACTTACAGGTGAAACTGTGTGTTTTTGTTTGTTTTTCTTTTTTTCTTTTCTTTTCTTTTTTAATTAATTTATTTTACAATTAATTTACTTCAAATTATATATAAATATATATATATACACACACACTTCGTTGTGTAATGTCTGTGAGGCTCTTGTTTTGTCTGGACTTTGTGCTTCACCGCATGTTTACTAAATCCGAACCCCTCCCTGTTCCTGCATTCCCGCGCATGCGCAGTGCGGCTGCCCGTGCGATGGCTGCGCGCGCGCTCTCCCCGCGGCTCGGTTCTGCTCCCGGTGCCGGTCTGCTGGACTTCAGGTCGGGCGCGCGCCTGCGGGAGCTGCAGCGGCTCATAGCGGAGCTCGGCGCGCACGAGCAGCGCGAGCATGACGACCAGCGCGCGCTGGAGCTGCACACGGCCAAGGACTTCATCTTCTCAGTACTGGGTGAGAGAGAGAGAGAGATACACATTGAGTCAGATAGAGAATGATAGAGAGAGTGATAGAGAGTCATAGACATAGAGAGAGAGAGAGAGTGTGTGAGAGAGAGATACACATAGAGTCAGATAGAGAATGATAGAGAGAGTGCCAGAGAGTCATAGACATAGAGAGAGAGAGAGAGAGATACACGTAGAGTCAGATAGAGAAGGTGATAGAGAGTCTTAGACATAGAGGGAGTGAGAGAGAGAGATACACATAGAGTCAGATAGAGAATGATAGAGAGAGTGCTAGAGAGTCATAGACATAGAGAGAGAGAGAGAGATACACATAGAGTCAGATAGAGAAGGTGATAGAGAGTCTTAGACATAGAGAGAGAGTGAGAGAGAGAGATACACATAGAGTCAGACAGAGAATAATAGAGAGACTGATAGAAAGTCATAGACATAGAGAGAGAGAGAAAGTGATACACATAGAGTCAGATAGAGAATGATAGAGAGAGTGCTAGAGAGTCTGAGACAGAGAGAGAGAGTGATACACATAGAGTCAGATAGAGTGATAGAGAGTCATAGACATAGAGAGAGAGAAAGTGATGCACAGAGTCAGATAGAGAGAGTGATTGAGTCTTAGACATAGAGAGAGAGAGTGATACACATAGAGTCAGATAGAGAATGATAGAGAGAGTGATAGAGAGTCTTAGACATAGAGAGAGAGAGATACACATAGAGTCAGACAGAGAATAATAGAGAGACTGATAGAAAGTCATAGACATAGAGAGAGAGAGAGAGAAAGTGATACACATAGAGTCAGATAGAGAATGATAGAGAGAGTGCTAGAGAGTCTGAGACATAGAGAGAGAGAGTGATACACAGAGTCAGATAGAGTGATAGAGAGTCATAGACATAGAGAGAGAGAAAGTGATACACGTAGAGTCAGATAGAGAATGATAGAGAGAGTGATAGAGAGTCTTAGACATAGAGTCAGATAGAGAGTGATAGAGAGTCTTAGACATAGAGAGAGAGAGATACACATAGAGTCAGATAGAGAATGATAGAAAGAGTGATAGTCATAGAGAGAGGGAGAGAGATATAAAGTCTGATAGAGTCACAGACATAGAGAGAGAGAGTGATAGAGAGTCATAGACAGAGAGAGAGACTCAGTGTGTTATGAAAGTGATTGATGTAGAAGGAACTAAAAAAGTACAGAATAACTTAGAACTGTTCTTCTAAACATGATCTTCTGATGTTCTAGAGTTATTCAGTAAAGGTTCTAAACAAAGCAGTAGGCCGTGTGAGGTCACACATTACAGTGATTTTAACACACAGTGTGAAGCAGAGCTCAAATATTCAATAGTTTGTTATAATTAATAATTGCAGTAAAGGAAGTTCTTCCACCGGCAGGTAGTCTGTTCAGAGTAGGCTACTGTTGCCAGGTAACAGTGCCAGTATGACAGTATATATCGTTATCATGATAAATTATGCCACAGTATAATACAGTATGCTGTTCTGATCACATGGTGTTTATCGTCAGTGCTTGTAGAAACTGACCAACTGCATCTTTCATTATAAAGAGAGCAAAATTAGATTTAGTGCCAAATACTCAATAAAAACCATTTGCTGATTTCTCGAGCAGTGAAAGCAACAATAATAAACCTCAATTTAAATCTGCTTATTTATGATTGGTTCGCCAATTTGAATGTAGCCAATCAGGTCGCTGATGCAACACCAATACCAAAAACCAATAAAACCGTGAACGGCAAAAATCACTTTATTAACAGTATTGGTGAGCGATTGATCTGGGTTTTCACATTATGGACAAAACAACGGTCAAACAAAAGGTCACTAAATGGAGGCAAATGGTGCTGATGACGGAGCTGAACTACTTTCATGCACTTGCACTACTCTTTCGCGCGAAGAAAACTACTCTTGCGCACGTGAGGAAAACTGCTCTTGCGCACGAGGAGAACCACTCTTGCGCGTGAGGAAAACTAATGTTGCCTGTGAGGAAAACTACTGTAACGCATGAGAAAACTACTCTTGCGCATCTGACATATGATTGGTCATTACTGATATCTGGAACTGTGTTGTGATTGGCTGGCTGTGAGTGATTGTCAGAGCTTTGCTGCATATAAAAAACCTGGAACAGGGCTTTCACTCTAGAAGACGATCTTCAGAGCACACCAGTACAGTGGCGCTCGCCGAAACGCTGCCTGTAATTACTGAATTCTGTCTTTCATTCTGGCGAGAGCAGTTCTTCCTCCCGCGCGAGAGCAGTTCTTCCTCGCTTGCGCATTTTGAAATGGATTTGATGCCACAGAAACATTAAAACAGTAAATAACCATTTCATGTAGTAACTTTCTGTGAGGGAGCTTTTAGAGGGGGACGTCTGGTTCCTATCACCACCACTGTGAACAGTTCTGACTCTGTAAGTTTATCTAGAACGGAGCGTTCCCCTTTAAGTCATTTGCACTAAAAGGTAAAAAAACGTCCGTTTTGGTGTTTCAGGTTGACCTGATGATGTAAAGTTACAGCAGTGTGTGTTCTGGGTGCTGCTGGTTGGGTTCTGCTGCTGCAGCATCAGGAGGAGCAGTTTTTGGGTTCTGAGCTTTAAAAAGCAGTAAAGTTTGAGTTTGGCTCTCAGGCTGGAGCAGCAGCACCTGCAGAAACTCTCAGAGAGAGAGATAGAGAGAGAGAGAGAGAGAGAGAGAGACAGAGACAGGGAGAGAGAGAGATGGAGAGAGAGAGAGAGACACAGAGAGAGAGACAGAGAGAGCGAGCAGAGCTCAGTACACACCCACTCTGACTCTCGGTGCGGCAGGGTGGGGGTGGGGGGGTGCGGCTGCCTCTGGCCATAAATAGCCTGAGCCGTACGCGTGTGCTGGCCTATATAATCACGAGGTTCTGAGTGATGACATCATCACAGTCCAGAGTCCAGTACTTTTACTGTTCTCGGTTCGCCGCTGTGTTAATCACACTGCTGTGGTCAGAGCTGAGCGATATGGCAGAATATGATATCACGATACCTCAGGACGGATTTTACGGTGCACAATGTGTCACGATATTCATTTTTTCGGACATCTGACAACTTAGAACAAAGCAGAGCCACGTTTATAAAAATACACACTTAAAAATGGTTCTTCAAGGGTTCTTCAGTAATGAAAATGGTTCTGTATAGAGCCATGAACACTTAAATGGTTCAGACTGATGGAGAATGTGCCGTAGATGGTTCTATATAGCACCAAAAAGGGTCCCTCTATTGTTACAAGCTTGATATCATCACAATACAAGAACCCTTTTTGGTGCTTTATAGAACCCTTTTTTCAAAATGGTGCTATAAAGAACCATCTGCAGCATGTTCTCCATCAATCTGAAGAACATTTTCACCATGCAAAGAACCGTTTAATCATGCGAAGGGTTCTTTAAGTATTCATGGCTCTATATAGAACTATTATCCTTACTGAAGAACCCTTGAAGAACCTTCTTTTTAAAGAGTGAGATCAAAAACTGTGAATCCAATTATTCCGGACCTCTCTGTGCCCCTCAGAACTCAACAGGCCGTTTTAGTTACCGTGCCTTTAAGACTGATATATGTAAATGAGCTCTGTTCCGATTGCGCTGCGCCTCATTCAGACACACCTCTTATCTTAAGTGGGCGGAAACACTCTTTAGAACGTCACGGTGAGTGGGCGGGGCCAAACTGCTATAGGTTGAATATGTAAATGAGTTGGTTTTGTGACGTGAGTTTCAAACGGGCTGTTGGTGCAGCTTAGTTTCTGTATATGGACTCGGGGGAGTGACACGTATGTTTTAAAACTTGCTGTATATGCAAATGAGCTCTGTTCTGATTGGCTGGAAGTAGTCAGGGCTGAAACGAGAGGCAATCTGTTTGGACGGCCCTCGATATTCCAGGCTGATATGTGGTGATGTGTGTGTTGAACTCCAGAAGAGCAGAATGTTTACGTGATGCTGAGGTGCTACTCTAAAATACCCGCATGTCATTCATTTTACTGTGTTTATAACT